TTCCTCTTATAAGGACATCAGTCATGTTGGATTAGGGCCCACCCTAATGACCTCATCTTGATTACATCTACAAAGACCCTATTTCCAAATAAGGTCACAGTCATAGGTATTACGGGTTAGGACTTCTATACATCTTTTTAGGGGACACAGTTCAACCCATCACACATTTTAATATTGGTAGAGGCAAATTGTACACAAATGCCTTCTGATGTTAAATACCATATTTAATTGGCTCTGATGGACTTTTTTAAAAAAATGGAAAGTGTCTGAAACCAGGATACATCCTATATGATAGTTTGGACTTCCTACTGCTTTGGACAATGCTTACTAGAGCTCTCTGCTCAGAGAACAGAGGTATGTGTTACCTTGAATTCCACCTTCCTGCTGCTACTGAGCTGCTGCTACATATAATGAAGGAACAAAAATAAAATAAACTTTCTTAACAACTTGCTCTAGAGAAACCACTTGTTGCATCCATAGCACAGTTAGCATGTGTTTTCTGCTTGGATGACTCAGCCAGGTGAGTGCAATGGAAGATCAGGCACTGCCTGGCTCACCCAGTGTTTCCATGGACTTATTTGGGAAGTGACCAGTCAAAGGTCAGTGGTGGGGCTGGGGATCCAGACCAGAACTCCTCCCTGGCAGACAGTAAGAGAGATGCCCATAGTGTTTGCAGTACCAGTGGCCCTCCCTTCCCATTGAACACTCTCCCTCTGACTTTGTCCTCTCCTGGAGTCCTCTGGCCTTACTAGGGTGGCGTATTCCTGCGTTCTGACATCCTGTCTCTTTGGACGACATATCCTCAAAATAGCTCTCATTGACGCATTATGACTTCCCCTGGTTCCAACTCCCTTCCTTGTTCCCCTTTTTTCTCCATTTTCCCCACCCTTTGTTTCTCTTCTGGTTCTGTGAATTGGGCTCATGTGCCAAACCACAGCTTTCTACTTCTGACTTTCCAGGCAAACTTCTTGGCTGGTCTTGTCTGTCTTTTCGAATTGGCCTTCTCTTCTTGGCCATCCCTCCTAGACTGGATTTTTGATCACCTGCCGTAAACAGCTTGGGACTCAGGATAAAAATAGCAACAACAAAAATGATAGCAACTGTAGCAGCAGTGGCCTTTATTGAGATCTTTCTGTCTTGCCAGCTGTTTTACTCAGAGTTTGACAGTTTAATTTCATCCTCACAACCACCCTGTGAGGACCAGGGCCAGTCCACCTTGTCTTCTTGCTCTGGCTAAACGGTCGGAAGAAATGGGTGATAGGGGTTGTCAATTCATTTCAATGACAAAGTTGTGATGAATATCCCCACTGCTCCAGCAGGGCTGAGACTGGGCCTCTGAGGCTGAGCAGGAACACGGGCCTTATGAATGACTGGAAACAGAGGCCTAAACGCCTTCCACATGTTTGGGGGAGGGGTGGCCTCGGAGCAGCCGTTCCTTGAATCAGCATGGCCCAGGCTGGGAGACTTCTGATGAGTCAGTCACTGTCAGCCACTGCATTCCCGGGAACCTGTCCTTTGTGGCAGGTCTCAGTGGGAGAGGAGGGGGATTCCAGGGGGATCGTTGGTTCTCACGAAATCAACCTGTGATTCATTAAAGAAAGGAGGTAAGGAACCAGGTAACCATGACTCCCCAGGCAAGACTTCCTAAAGAACAAGTCCCAGCAGCTCAGCTCATCCTCTGGGGTCAGGGACCGCCCGTTCACTGGGAGGGGACCTGCTTTTATTTATTTCACATCTGGCAAGGCTTTCTTTTGTGGCTTCAAGTCAAGGACTCATGAAGAAATGCTAATTTGAGAATGAATGGTTGGATAAATGGGTAGATTGGGAAACGTTTTCAAAAAATAATTTGACAGCGCCCACACCTCCCACGGTCTTCTCTCTTCTGACTCTTCCTGTGATCTCATCGCTCTCCCCTCTCTCCCTAGTGAACATCCACGGCACTTATGTCCAGAATGACTCTCCTGGACACCGATTCCCATGGGAACTTCAAAATGGGAGGCAGATACCTAAAATAGTTCAGGCTCTGCTTCTCTCAGAGGTCTCCCGATGAAGCAGGAAAGGGGGGCTATGTTCACATCTGGCTGGGAAAAGAGCGCCATGAGCCAGGAGCTGGCCAGGCAGCCCTTGTGGAGAGAGGCCTTCTGGTCGTGCTGTTGGTTCTGGACCTTCAGGCACTCTGAATCCAGCAGCTCTGGGAAGACTGAGCTTGCATTGTAGACAGTGCACAACTGCAGGCTGCATCCAGATTCCCAACTTCACATCACCTGCCAAGGTCGGAGTCAGTCAGAGGCTGGAACCAGGGGTGCTCGTGGGCTCGCAGTGGCAGCTCCCCTGTAGAGTTTTAGGGTTGAGAAAGGCCTTTGAAGTTAGACAGATTCAAGGCTCTGAAGAAATGTGGGGCTTCCATGAGGTTCTTCAAGGATTCCACATAAAACCCAGTATTTCCGGGAGAGCAGTGAACATTTAAATTGTCCAAGGCACTATTCCAATCCATTTGCATGTTTTATACTGGAATTCTATGCATATGCATGTAGGAAATGAGCTCAGTAGCTTAAAAAACAAAACAAAACCGTTCTAATCCAGTACCTCTCAACTTGCTCCAATATGTATTGAGCATCTCCTTTGAGCAAGGCCTGGGGCTGGGCTGGGCTGTGCAAGGAAGGCCTCAAGGGGCTTAAAATTCTATTGAGTGACAGTGCTAAGGCAGATACATAAATAATTATAATACGTTGGGAATATTGGAGTTGAAGAAACTGAGGCTGAGTGGAGTTAAATGACTCATCCAAGGCCATGTTGTTAGTGGGTGACTCAATTAGGACCATAGCCTACTGGTTGTGTGTGTATCCTTTCTGTTGGGTCCCCCTGTCCTCTAGTGAGGCCCTGAGATGAATACTGTTCAAGTATAATTTTCAGAGAGTTAAAAGTATTATTCCTATACAACTATAAAATGAACATGTGTCGAAAATTTCATTCAACTTAATGAGGGGACCAGCAAAATGTTAAGACTAATTCAGAAGAGAATTCAAGAAAGCAAGATTTATAGTTGGTCAGTCACCGGAAAGCTGAAATCAGTTATCTAATAGATTCAAAACTGGATAATGTGCTACAAGGCAGCAGACCCTAACCTTTGGTGGTTACCTTTTCTACCAGACAGAAGTCACTTGTGTTGCTGTTGCAGTAGAATATACGCATCGCTGTCACCAAGAATCATTCCCATTGCCGTTGGTTTTCTACAGGCCCACTTCTACTCTTACAGATTTGTGAGATATACTACAGTAGAAGTCAAACAAAGGTGCACACCCCTGGAAAATCAGATAATCCCTAAACATGGTGGGTCTACTAGTCTACCCCCTGCATTCCATGGAAAGGACTCTCAGTACTCCCTTTGCTTATTTCCACATTTTGGGTAATTTTTCTTAACCATGTTTTGTGTGTGTGTGTGTACACATGCACATTTTCTAGGTATGTTCCTTTTCCCAGTGTTGAAAGGGACTTCAGTCACACTATAATAAAATGGACTGAGACATTCAGCTCTGTTAGAAGTTTCAGGGACACTGGGAAAACATCCTAATGTGAGGATGATTTTCCCCCAAATAGATTTGCTGGTCTTACCAGCTGGGTGCAAGGGACCACTTTAGAAACTTGGATAAAGGAATTGTCAGGATAATTGGGTCACAGTAAGAATGGGTCTTCCTCAATCTGCAACTTGTACAGTTGTCTCTTGGTATCTGCAGAGGGTTGATTCCAGGCTTCCCCACCACCCAAATCCGAGGATGCTCAAGTCCCTCATAAAAATAGTATTTGCCTATAACCTACACACATCCTCCTGTATTCTGTAAATCATCTCTAGATTACTTACAATACAATGTGAATTGTATGTAAATAGTTGCAAATCCAATGTAAATGATATGTAAATAGTTCAGTAGTGTGGCAAATTCAAGTTTTGCTTCTTGGAACTTTCTGAAATTTTTTTTTTCTGAATATTTTCAACCTGTGGTTGTTTGAATCTGCATCTGCAGATGCAGAAACCACGGGTATGGAGGGCCTACTGTACGGAAAAGGCCTTCCTGGAGGCACTGCAGGAAGAGGTTTACCTGGCTGAGGCCCGGAAGGCTAAGCTAGGGGAAGTGGGGAGGATGGGGGCTTCTGTCCAGGCAACTGCTTGGAGTTGCTTCCTGGCTGGGCTTCTCAGGGCTTTTTTGCTCCTTTGCTCCCCCCTCCAGCTTTTTCTCTGCCATTTGACAGTCTGAAGACTGTTTACATTTGAGTGGCATGTTGTAGTGTACCCTGTGCATCTCCTTTACCTCACTGAATTCTTTGCACAGATCCTGTGAAATAGATATTATCATTTCATAGAGATAAACTTGATTGACCAAGGACAAGACACAGCTAATAAAAAGAGCATTCAGAATTCAAACACTGGCCTTCCAACTCCAAAATTCCGTGTTCTTCCAGCTTATAACAGTCGACTTTCAGTAATATTTCTGCACTTCTCCCTGAAGCATTCTACACATGGATCCCACGATCTATGTATTGGGAAGCTTGAGGTTTCAGAGGATTTGCTTTTCCCTGGCAGGCCAGTGGGACACTGTCATGGCAGTCACCCCCCAACCCCATATTTAGGCTGTGTGTTAGTGGTGCATTGGGGCCCTGAATTCCCTGTAGGGTGGCTGTGAATAAATCACTAGAATAATTGGAGAGAGGGCATATTGCCATGGCTCTGGGCCTCAGATTTTCATTTGCACAATGTAGGTGTCAAATCAGCTGTTAATTAAAGCCTTTCCATCAGTTAAAATCTGACACTTGGGTGCGTAGCTCCGCTTTGCTCCATCACTTGCCATCACTCTCACCTCATTAATTAAGGGCGGTGATGAGTTTTTCCTGACCTCCCTCTTTCTCCTTCTTCCTTACCAAACAGCCTGTGTTTGGTAAATGTCTATGGGATGGTGTTTGTGTGCATCTGAGAGATGTAAACCTGGACATTGGGGGAAGTTGGGGAAGGATGGGGCAGGCCAGCTACTTGCTCAAGCCAAATCAGATGCTAATGCCTCTGTCTCTCTGTTTCAGGGCCCAACATCTGTGCCACACGAGGTGTGAGCTCCTGCCAGCAATGTCTGGCTGTGAGTCCCATGTGTGCCTGGTGCTCAGATGAGGTAAGGAGCAGACATCTGACTTTGTTTCTTCTCCAAACTTAGCTGCTTCTGTGTAGAAATGGACCCATGGGGATATCTCCTCCCTCCTAAGTACAAGCCCCTTGTGCCTTCTGAGCAAAGCTAGGGAGAAGCCTTCCCACTGATGGATGTCAAAGGGAGCTGTCATGGGTTGTTGCTGGGAATGCCACCCAGAGTGTACCATGTGGCCCTGGACCCAGGCAGTTTGGTTGGGCCTCCTGGCTTCCCTGTAATCATTGCCACCCTTTACCACCCCTTGCTTGCTTTTTGTTGGGGTGGAACCCACCCTGGGCAGTGAGACCTTCGGTCTCAAAAAGGGAGGCAGGAGAGGGTTATAGGTAGAGGGGATGCTGGCTTATGAGCATTCCAGACTTTTTTTAAAGGCAAACAGAAGAGGGATCTTGCACATGTGTAGGGGAATGTTTAGCCAGAGGATCTTTTCTCTTCCCTTTTCTTGTCTGATGATTGGGCCCCCATGGCTTTACCTTTCCCTCTCTCTCTCCTCTTTCCCTCCTTCCTCCCCTCTCCTGGGAAGGTGTCAATGAGGGAAGGAGCTGGGCCAGTTTGGTGAGGCTGTGAGGGTGACAGGAAAGGGTTCGCTGTGTCTAGGAAGAGGATTTGTTGTGTCTGGGGCCCTAGGGAATGAGTGTGTCTGAGGGAACAGCTCTGTTTGTGGCTGGGACGGGAATTTGGAGCTGGCGGGAGCTGGGGGCTTGGGGGTGAGTGTGGCTGGAGAGGTTCCAGTGATTACAGAGTCTGAGGCTGAGTCACTGACCTGGCCCCTGGCAGGTGGTTATCCAAACTCCTGGCCTGGCTGGGTGTCAGCCACCCTGGGCACCTTCTCTCTCACGATAGCATGTCCCTGCCCTCTGCAGTTCTGTGACGGTTCTAACCCAGGCCTTGTTCTCTCTGTCTGCTTCTCTTCCCAATCTGCTAAGTTTCCTAAAAAGGCAACCTCCCCAGCAGGCTGGTGGGGGGGTGGGGGGTGGGAGCTGGGAGGCTGTGTTTATCTCTCAACCGGAGGACCAGCCGGAACAGCAGAGGCCAGCCCAGCACACTGCTTTGGCCTCTGTGCAGTTCAGCACGAGAACTGCTTCCAGAGGCAGCTGCCCAACATCTGGGCCACACTGACTTCATTTAGCAAATGAAACACTCCCTGGGGCTGGGGTTGGGGTGGGGGGGTTGGGTGAGTCCTTCCCCTCCACCCCCGCAGGTTCTCCACCCCTCTGGGCTGAGCTGGCTGCTTAAGTGTGATGTGGCCTCCTCCCTTCTCATTTGCCATATCTTCCTTCCCTTGGTTACCATCATGATATTATTAAGCTTCTTTTACAAGGGAGTTGGAATTCTGCAGCCGAATCCTCGAAGAAGGGAAAGCTGGATGGGGAGGGTGCCTCATTGGAGTGGATGGTGTGTAGCTGCCTGGAGCAGAGGGGTAGCCAGGGGAGAAGCCTGAGTGTCACTCAACGGACGTTCCCCCTTCTTCCTTTCCTCCTTTTCAACCCAAAGCAAGAGAAATGGAGACAACTATGGTTCAGAGGAGCCTGGGGAAAAAGAAAACAGGTTCTTGTGGTGTCTGTCACCTCTCTTGATCTGAACAGGGACAAGTCATGTAACTGAGGTATGCTGAGGCCTGACCAGACAAAGCCCTTAGGTCACGTGATCAGATTTTGGAGATGCAAATATGGAATATTTATTGATAGCCATGGTGAATTTTGCCCCATAGAGGAGACCGAGGTTGGGGGAGGAGAAAGGGGGAAGGTACAGGGTAGGATGGAAGCATAAGGTAGGACTAGCCTAGGAATAGGGAGTGGAGTCAAAGAGCAAATGGCTGCATCTAGGACCAGAGAAAACTAATGAGGGGAGGTGGATGGTCCCATAAGGTATTTTCTGGGAAGATGGAATTTAAACAGGAAAGTATTTGTTTGTGTGTTTGTTTTTGTTTTTTGAATGACAAAGTCGGATTTATTGCTCGGGGTTAAATCAGTGGAGACAGAATCTGGGGCGGGAAAGGGGGACACAGGAAGTTGGTGAAGCATCCTCCTGGCTTTCACTGAGTTCTTGGCTCCCTGGGAAAGTGGGAGAGGCCAAGGGTTTAGTGAATGACTACAACTATCTCTGAACTAGGAGGCCAGGGGAGGAGGAGAAATGGCAGAGGAGACCAGTGTGAGGCAACATTCGTCAGGGAGGAATGGGAGGTGGGAATCCTGGGCTGTAACCTGAACGTGACTGCTGTTTTTTTCCTGAGGGCTTCCCTTGCGCTGACCAAGTTTAACTGCTGAAAGTATCTTGGCCGTTGACTTAAAAAACCCAAAATGAACCATCTGGGACATTTTGTATGTGATTTGTTGAATAACCGACCCCGGAGAGCCCTCTGCTTCTGCCTCTCCTACCTTGGCTGTTACAGGCAGGATTGGCAGTGCCTGGAAAAACAACTGGTTGGGCTCGGCATTCCCTGGTCCTAGAGGACAGCGGCTCTGGGTGTGTAAAGCCAGCCCTTGGCTGGGTAGTAGGAAAACATAGCCAATGTGGATGAGTGCAGAGTTTTGGGCTCATCTGCATAGGGTGTGTTCTCATAGTGCTGGATACTGATATGAGTTGCAATGGGGTACTGTCTCTGTACTGTGAATCTAGCAGAGAGGCTGGTCTCACACAGGGATTCAACTTGTGGTCTTGGCCTCAGTGACATCATGTTGGAATCTTCTAAACTTGCCTGCTGGTAAGAGTCACCTAGGGTGCTTGTTTAAATATAAAGGCTCCCAGGATGAACCCTGAACCTATTGCATCAGAATGGCTTTTATGATACTGAGTTTGGCAAATACTGCTAATCAAATGGGCTGATCATTGGGGTCATGGTGAGTAGAGGTGGAATTTAGGTTGCCAGATAAAATACAGGGCAACCCAGTTAAATTGAAATTAAACAACACGTACTCTTCAGTGTAAGTATGTCCCAGATATTTACCAAATTTGGCAACCATAAGGTGGAGGGAAATACTAGGAATTCTGCCATAGTCCTGAGTGCTTATCAGGAGGTGGACTCGCTCACACTCAACCTGACATCTGTGGACAAAAGGAGAAGAATGGGTTTGGGTCTAGCAAAGAAGACGACTCCAATAGGACTTGCTTCTTATTTTCTCTCTGCATCTCTACGTGGGGTAAAGGCTTAGCCCACTATTCCTTTTTAGTCACTAACATAGTTTTGTTCTTACTTCTTTGCTATTTTTACTTTCTTCCTATTTAAAAAAAAATCTGGATAGATAAACAAGTTTATACTGTATAGCACAGGGAAATAAAGTCAAAGTCTTGTAGTAGCTCGCGATGAAAAAGAATATGAAAATGAATATATGTATATTCATGAATGACTGAAAAATGGTGCTGTATACCAGAAATTGACACAACACTGCAAACTGACTATAACTCTATTTTAAAAAAAAAAAATCTGGAGGATGAATGCTCATCTGGAGAGTTTTACTCCAACTGGTTATTGTAAAACAAAAAGGTGTAATATTCAAAGTGCTCCTCCTTCTGTAAACAGTGGGGTGTAAATATCAATAACCATATACTAAAATACTTTCCTTCTCCTCTCCTTCCTTCTGACCCCTTCACGTTTCTTTCTCTGTATGTTCAAGCTATTTCTTGTCCTCACCAGATATCAGTCAAGAGAACAATACTGGGGGAAAGTGTAGTGGTAGAGCGCATGCTTAACATGCATGAGGTCCTGAGTTCAATCCCCCGTACCTCCATTAAAATATATAAATAAGTAATTATCTTCCCCTCCCCAAAACAGGAAAAACAAACAAACAAACAAACAAACCCCAAAACAACAACAACAGAAAGAGAAAAATGTTAATTTATTTGGACTGGAGGTGTTTGCCAGCTGTCTGAGGGAAAAAGTGCCAGTGCATATATTCTTCCTTGCCCACCAAGGAAAGTGTCTGCAGTAATAGAAGTAGTTATAATGGTAACAATAGAAAAGAGTCACCTATTTGAATTTGTTTGTTTATATCAGACCAGAAGGATTTGGTTATACTTGACTTATGTTGAAATTTTTATGTCTTGAAAGCATTTCCTGTTCACAGTTTTATTTTATCCCCTGACTGGCCCTGTGAGCAAGGTGGAATAATGACAGTTATTCATGCTGTACTTTCCCAGCTTCCAAAATGGGATTAATGGAGAGTGGGGCTAATAGCGTGTGTCACTCTCCCAGGAGAGCGAGGCAGTTCAGCTCACACAGCACGTGGCCTGGAACCTCCCACCTCGGTGCTCGGGCCCTTCCCCTGGGTCTGGTTATTTTTGCCCTTTTTGTGAAACATCTGGTTTCACTGGGAACCGAAACTTGAACACTCCTCCCCCCTCCTTCCAGTTTTCTCTCGGAGTAACCTGGACACACTCCTTCTACTTTCTCAGCCTGGGTTATTAAGAAAGGGAATGTTGCCCAAGTGTGTTGAGGTCACTGCCTTGGTGTCCTTCTGGGACAAGAGGCTCTCAGGGGGAGTGTGGCTGAGAAGCAGGCCTTTTGTGTTCCTGACCCCTGATGTCAGCAACCACAAAGGGGGGAAGGAGGCAGTTTTTGTTTCGTAGTGTTTATATTTCTAAGGAAATTCATAACAAACCATAAGGACCGTCAGCAAGGCTTAGCGCTTCAAACCTTCTTGTAATAAACACTGCCACGTTAGGAAGTGGGGGTCAGGAAACCCCCTCCAAAACATTCTCTCCCTTCGCTGGTGCGACCTGAAGATGCAGGATGGCCTTGCTGTGCTCATTGTTTCCTGGTAACCGCCTTCCCTCTCTCCTTCAGCATCTGTCTTAGTCCTGGAAAGGATCAGCAACTCGGGGCATACTGGTCTATCCAATCATTGCCTTTTTTGGAAGGTTTTCTCCCTGGGTCTTTGTGGGCAGCTGGAAGCAGAGATACGGTAGGGAGTTTTCTGAGCAAGGAAGAGACTGCTTCCTAGGGGAGAAGGGTTGGGAGAGGTGGGCGGGAGCAGCAGGAATTAGGGCCCAAAAGCACTAAGTGCTCATGAGCCCTCCCCGCTGTCATTCCATCCTGGCCACAGCCAGGCGAGGGGAGGTGATGTTCATCTCTCTGAGACTAGGAGGAGCTGTGATGTCCTGCTGGAATCTTTTGAACCAGGAAGGTTAAGTCTCGTTCACTGTTTCCCGTTGCTGATGCTCTTGCTCTGCCTCATCCCCAGGAAGCTGAGAAAGAAGAAAGGGAGCTGCTGGCTTCCAGGAGCTCTTTCCATGTTTTGCCTGGGCCAGCAGGGTCTTCGTACCATTTGTCTTGAGTCCATTCAGGCTGCTATAACAAAAATACCATAGACTGGGTGGCTTAACAACAAACATTTATTTCTTATGGTTCTGGAGGCTAGCAAGTTCAAGATCAAGGTACCAGCAAATTCAGTGTCATAGGTGGCCATCTTCTCAGTGTGTCCTCACGTGGCAGAAGGGGCCAGGGAGCTCTCTGGGACCTCTTTTATAAGCACAATCCCATTCATGAGGGCTCCATCCCATGACCTAATCGCCTCCTAAGACCCCACTTCCTAATACCATCACCTTGGTGGTTAGGGTTTAGTTTATGAGTTCTGGGGGGAAACAGACATTCAGTCTGCAGCACTGTTATGTTTTTCACGTTCCCGTCCACGTGGGGAACCCCTTCTGCCTGTCAGAGAAGGGCTGGGTGGGAGAAGAAGGGACTTCAAACATCGGGAGGGGTTTTAGGCAGAATCGTGATTTTTTGAGTTTGGATGGCTCCTTATGGCCCAGTTTCTCTCCTGGAAATGTGGCTTCTAGTCACCTGAGCAGCTGAGGGGGTGGCATGTTATCTCTCCTCCCCACACCTCTCATTTCCCCGTCTTGCATCCTGTTCCCTACCTGGGCCATTCTCGGCTGTGGCCCCTCCTGGGGCTGTCTCTTCCACACTCCTGCTTCTCTGCCCTGATTCGCCCTGCGCAGAATGTAATACAGCAGGTCGTTCTATGAGGATAATTACAGTCAGACAATCTAGTCAGCATCTCACTTCTGCTACTTCCTAGCTCTGTAACTTTGGGCAAGTTACTTAACTTCTCCAAACCTTAGATTTCTTACTTATAAGATTGAGCTCCCCATTTGTGAAACCTCCAAGCCTCAGGTTCATTGCTTGTAAGGTAATAATAGTTCCAGCATTACAGAACTGTAATCAGGCAGATTGCAGTGATCCATGTCAAATGCTTATTATGGTACCTGAAGTGCAGCAAGTACTCAATAAATGTTAACGCTAGTTGTTCTGGGATACTGGTGTGGGTTACTCAGCTGACTTCTGGAAGTGGTTGTGAGAGGAGGTTGGTAGGAATGCGGGAGGTTGCGGGGTTGAAGGCTTAGATGTTGTGAAATGGGTCCAAGGAGGGATTTTCCAGCTTTCTAGGCAGTCCCCAACCTGGCAGGAAGCCCTCATGGACTTGGATCCACATGGTGCTGGCCAAGTTTGCTGAATGTCAGAGCAGGAAGGGACTGAGAACACCATGTCATCTAAGGCCTTTACTGAACAGGTGAGGAAACTGAGGCTCAATGGAGTGAAATGACTTATCTGAGGTCACACGGCTGGTTAGTGGCAGACCTCGGATGGAACCTGTTTTCTGATTTCCAGTGTTCTTCCCAGTGCACTGTGTTCCCCATTCAATACACTGGTGCAAACATGCACAGAGCTCCAAAGGTCTGTGGGATGTGTGCTAGGGTTTTTGGAGAGGTGCTCAATCTGCCCTTTGTCCAGGGTTGAGGAGAAAGCTGGAAGTGATGGGCTAGGCTCTGGTCAGTGGCTTGGCATCATGGGATTTGCCCAAGCTTGTGAGGTTTATTGGTAATTAATTTATCTAAGAACTGTTCATAGACATCTCACAATAATTACTAACATTTATTGAGCACTTACCCTATGACAGGCACCATGCTATGTGCTTTACACTCACTGTCTTACATTGTCCTGCAGAACACCCCTCTGAACGTGGGGCTATTGTTATTTTCATGTTATAGGTGCGGAAAGGAGGCCTGAAGAGTTAGGTGACTCGCCCTAGGAACCAGCTGTTTAGGAGGCAATGCTGAGATGTCATCTCAGCCAGTCTGTGCCTCCCCACATCCATCCCCCATTGTTACCTTTGTGGAAAGTCTCCAGGTTGGGTGCTGGGACTAGAGAGGGAACGAGACATACATAGTCCCTCATGGATCTCACACCCTAGCCAGTGTCTTAGTACAGTGGCTGTTTGGAAAGTCACTGTTTTGGAAAGAAATTTGTTGCAGAAATGAATACATTGTATATCAATATTTATTATATGAATTGTATGCCACGCCCCAATATATAAATGTTTCACAAAACAGTATTTACTTTTACTACTTGTATACTTTGATACTTTCTATTCTATTCTGTTGCATTTTATTTATTAAATTGATGGTTGAGACCTACTACATCAATTTTTGGAACCCACAAGTGGGTTGTGTCTCACAGTTTGAAAAACACTAGTCCTGCAGGCGTCATACTGTACTGGCCCTCTTCCTTCCTACCCATCACCCAACTTTCTGATGCTTCACTTTCCCCATTCTGTACAACAGGCATGGGGACTATCTTGGGAAGGTCCTCAGGAGATCATTTACATCGGTTTAGTCCCAGAGTGCTGCGTAAGCTCTGGCTGTTGGAAGGAGGAAGAGCCTGCAGGAAGCGGAGAGCTATGATAGCTCTGATCACAGGGTCCCCCCTTGGGTTCCTGTCTTGCAGGCTCTGCTTCCGGGCTCACCCCGCTGTAACCTGAAGGAGAATCTGCTGAAGGATAACTGTGCCCTGGAGTCCATTGAGTTCCCTGTCAGTGAGGCCACAATCCTGGAGGCCAGGCCCCTCAGTGACAAGGGCTCTGGAGACAGCTCCCAGATTACTCAAGTCAGCCCCCAGAGGATTGCACTCCGGCTACGGCCAGGTAGGGAGCTCTCGGAAGTAGCTCACAATGGAAGTGGAGTGGGAAGAGAAGGATGTAAGGGGAAGTGTGGGCAGGAGAATGGAAGAAAATGGAAGGTTTGAGGACTTGAAGGCAGAAGATCTGAATTTGAATCTTGACTCTTCCATTGATTAGCTATTTGACCCTTCTAACATAGTAGGTACTCAAAAAAATCTTTGTTTTGTCTTCCCCCCAATGCCCATTTTATTACCCAGCATATAGCTTTGTGTTGAGGTTGAGCTTAGTGTTATCTCTCAAATGAGATATAAGATGAGAGAGCAATTTGTAAGCCCCTTTTCCATGTGAGATTGGGGCAGGAGTATGAGGGCAGAGCACATGGGGGCAGGAGACCTTAGGAGGAAGGATTAGGCTAAGAGGCTTTTTGAAGCATTTGTTTTGACTTTCCAATTAAATCAAGTATTTGAGAAAGTACTGTTTACATGCAAGGCGTGTGTCGGGTACTGTGGGATTCGGAGAAGGGTGGGACATAGTTCCTGCCTTTTATTGAATGTGAAGTGTAGTAACTGCCAAAACATCTGTGGCTTGGGCTGGAAGAGCCTTGAGACCCATAGGAATAGACCAATAGGGGTTTAAAGAAGGTGGATTTTTAGAATGGGAGGAAAGAAGTTAAAAATAGGAGGGTCAAGAGATTGGAAAAGGAATAGAATTGCAAAAGGAGAGAAGTAGGGACTAGGGCTTTCAGGTTTGGTTTGATCAAGAAGTTACTTCATCCCAACTATGTCCAAATTTACTTAAATCTTAGAAGGAGCAGAGGAGAAAAATTAATGTCCTTCTGTGTTGCAGATGATTCGAAGAACTTCTCTATCCAAGTTCGGCAGGTGGAGGATTACCCTGTGGACATCTACTACTTGATGGACCTGTCTTATTCCATGAAGGATGATCTGTGGAGCATCCAGAACCTGGGTACCAAACTGGCCTCCCAGATGCGTAAGCTCACTAGTAACCTGCGGATTGGCTTCGGGGCCTTTGTGGACAAGCCTGTGTCACCATACATGTTCATCTCCCCACCAGAGGCCCTCAAAAACCCCTGCTACGAGTAAGTCTCTCCTCTAGAAGCCAGGGACGCACCCCTCCCCTTTGCCTCAGGCAGGTCCAAGTGTTGCTTCCTATTTCTAGCTCTAGGGTAGCTTCATTGGCTGCCTTCTGGCCAAATCGTATCTCTCCTCTACTGTCTACCTTGATCTTCATGTCTGGCAAGTGGGCCAACCCATTGATCTGGAGTGTTTTATTAATAGAGTCCAAGGCTGTTTGGAGAGCTAGAAAGAAGATTTCATCTGCTTCTTGGTCTTGGTCACAAATAAATAGTAGACAAGAGAGAATGGGAGGGAAATGAGATCAAAAGTAGAGAAAATTTATGGATGGGTGAACTAGAGGAATTATGATTTTAGAAGGATTGATTCCATTGTTATTGTCATTATTTTCCTCCTCATTATCAAGAGTATGAGTCCTGCGGAGTTAAAATGCAAAGAATTAAAATGCAAAGAATTAAACCCTAAAGGAGTAGTATTTATTGACCCTCTAATTAGTCTAAGTTGCTAAGTGTCCCTCTGTTGAGACTTTGGCTTACAAACTGAATGGCTTATTTATTTAATTGGTGGAGACTCTGCAAATCCATGGATTATAATTTAAAATGATGATTCCTGAGCATGACCAGGTATGAATTTACCTTTTAGGTGTGAAAGTTACATGATGTGCCCTTTTAACTTCTGCCTGAGTGTAAGGTTCCCCAGTAAAGGTGTCGGTCATCAGTCAAACAAATAAGCCATTGGGCTGTGGATGGAAATGCTCTTGTTTGGCACAGATCTATTGGTTTATTGAGAATTCAGAGATAGTAAGTTATTGATGAACTTTTGCTTTGTTATTGTGTTAACGTTACTTCAGAGGAGCGTTTAAGTATAAGGTGGTAGCAGCAGCAGCCAGAGCCTTACTCTGGCCTAAGAGCCTTCCACACAGGAACTCATTCAAGGCTCACAACTCTTACGAGATACGTGCTATCACGTCCCCATTTTTTCATAAGTTAGGCATAGAGAAGCTTGCCTAGGGCCCCAGGACTAGTAAGTGAAGGAGCTGGCATTTGAACCCCTGCAGTCTGTTTCCACAGTTCTCTCTTATCCTCTGGCAAGCTGGAGGTGAGATCATGTGATGCCTTAGGTGGTTTGCGGGTTTGGAGTCTAAACTGCCTGGGTAACTGTAGTTGTGCAGAACTGGCCTGGCATATCGCCAGCCGTATTTGTCTCCGTCTTTTCCCCTCCCGCTCCCCTGGCAGCCTCTTCTGTGAGGTGTCTGCTTAGATGACCTCTTTCCTTCCCCAGTATGAAGACCACCTGTTTGCCCATGTTTGGCTACAAACACGTGCTGACACTAACGGACCAGTGGACCCGCTTCAATGAGGAGGTGAAGAAGCAGAGTGTGTCACGGAACCGAGATGCCCCGGAGGGTGGCTTTGATGCCATCATGCAGGCTACAGTCTGTGATGTGAGTTTGGAGGGTATGGAGTGCCACTTCCTTCCCCATTTTGATCTGTGCCAACCATGCTGGCACAGATCAAAGTGGAGAAGGAAGTGGTACAACTGTGGGGATTTTTGTGTGAAATAAGAGATAGGAGCTAAGCAGAGCTTCGTGCAGCATGAGCAATGTTGTATCCACTCCTTGGCCATAGCTGGTGTTTTTTTGAACCTCAGTGGTTCCATGTGTTTTCTGAGGAGAGTATCTCCCCACCTTCTCTGGAAGTGTATCAGAGTCAAGGCTGGGTTAACTTAACCTCAGCAAAGTGGCCAGATGTTCAGATGGGATTTCTTCTAGCCCAGCCCAGCTCTGTGGATACAGGTGGGTTTCTAGATGGGCCACATGATTATCATTGAAAAAGTTATATTTGGAGTTGAAATAGACACCTTTCAGCTGCTTGAACTAGTAAGCTCTGAGGCTGTTTTCCTAAGAGAACAGAAACCCCGAGTTAGAAAGCTCCAGCTTGTGTTTCAAGGACTGGGACTGAGGCCCTTCTCCAAGACAACTTGTTAGCCCTTCAGGTAGGGAGCTCTTTGGGTCTTTGTTTTCTGCCAGTGACATGGGTAAAGTTGCTGTCTCTATTTTGCCTTTTTTTTTTTTTTAACAGGAGAAGATTGGCTGGAGGAATGAGGCATCCCACTTGCTGGTGTTTACCACTGATGCCAAGACCCACATAGCGCTGGATGGAAGGCTGGCAGGCATTGTCCAGCCCAATGATGGGCAGTGTCACGTTGGCAGTGACAACCATTACTCTGCCTCCACTACCATGGTGAGATGCTTGGTGCCACCTGCACTCCCTTTTCACTGTAGCCAGGATTGCTCTAACACAGGCAGAGTCTGTGTATGAATATGAAAATGGCAGCCCTTCCTCTGGGCAAGGTGCAGGGCTCTCTCCAGCCTGCCTTCACTCTCTCACCCACTGGACACCCTCATCCAGGGTACAACCAGCACAACCATTAGAGATGGTCCTGGCTGTGGTCAGTAATACCACTTCCTCCACTGCCTCCAGCACCACCAGCAGCAGCAAGCAGCATGGCTTACAGATTGGACCCAAAGGACTTATGTAGGTCTGGCTGGAAAGCAGTTCATCCTGTCTGCTATGCACAGATTAGCCCCTTTTTGGAATACCATGCTTACTTGTAGTTATTGGAAGAAGACAGAGGAAAAAGAGACAAAGATCATCAAATCATGGAGAGCCAGTCCTGTGAGGAAAGGTTAAAGGGCTGAGAGTCATTTAGCTGGAATGGAAGAAGGCTAAGGGATGGCTTAGCTGAGACATGAGAAGACTTTTTTAAAATTTTTTTTTATTAACACTGGTTTATAATTATGTAAGTTTAATGTGTACAATGTTGTATTTCTACTTCTGTATACACTACAGTGTGCTCACCACCAAAAATTTAGTTTCCGCCTGTCACCATACAGTTGATCCCCTTTCCCCATTTCACCCTCCCCCTGTCCTTTCCCCTCTGGTAACCACTACTCTGCATAAGAAGACTTCTATGCCCACAGAAGGTTCAAAAAGAGGAAAGGAGTATGTATTGAAACAGGAGAAATTGCAGTAAGCCATAAGGAAAATGTACAGACCTGCAGAATGCTGAGTGTTTAGGGGGAGGTGTGAACTCTTTCATCCCTTGAAGACATATGGCAACTACCTCATCTAGGTGGCTTAAAGGTACACCTGTGTAAAGGCAGGGGCCTGAGCTGGGTGATCTCATGAGCTCCCTGCAAGGTCTAGGGTCCCAGGGACATGTTCACAGTTTACCAGCATCCCCATTGTGGCTTGAGTTCCTTGGTGTTAGCTATATCTAGGTGGAGCACTACCAGGCAATGGGTAAGTCAGTAACCATTGACACCTAGTCTATGCAGGGCCTTACAGGGGCCGAGGGAGAGAAAGAAACTATGTAAGGTTCTACCCTTAGGGAGCTTTCAGTTTAGCTGAAGAGATGTGGTACCAGTAGCACAAGATGCATGATTAATGCTAACTGGACAGAACAGTCAATAAGGGCTTTAGGTATTCAAAGGAGAAAAGCTCATTATGAACTGGGATGGTCAAGGAAGGCCTCCTGGAGGAGGTGGGATCTGAGCTGGGTCCCTAAGGAAGGAGGAAGACTACCAAAAGGAAGGCCACTCCAGGTGGGAGAAAGACAGTGGGCCAGGTCAGTGGTAAGTGGAAGAGGGAGAGAGAAAAGGAAGGTTAAGACCGCATGGTGGAGGCTTGCAAGCACCAACCTAAGGCATTTTTCAATAGCTGCAAAACAGGAGGAAGCTTCAAAACAGAAAGGCCTGGCAGTACCTGGCCCAGACGGCGGGTGGGAAGGGACTGGGATTTTAAAATGTAGAATAGATAAACAAGGTTGTACGGTGTAGCACAGAGAAATATATACAGGATTTTGTGGTGGATCACAGCGAAAGAGAATGTGACAATGAATGTATGTACATTCATGTATAACTGAAAAATTGTGCTCTACAGTGGAATTTGACACAACATCGTAAAATGACTATAACTCAAAAAAAGTATATATAAAAAAAAAGAAAAGAAGCTGCTTCTTGGTATGAACATATCAAATTTGAATAGGAAGAAAGAAGTGCTTAGTTTTGGCACTACCAGCCGGTACTTCTTCATCTGTCTCTGGAGTTCACCACTAGGTTTGTGTTGTGTTTACACATTGATTATGGGGTTAAAAGGTTTAAGTACCACCACTGTCTGGGCCTTGGCCTGAGTTAGCCATCATCTAAGGCTTAGAACCCAGAGGTGTATGCAAATAGACTTTTTAACTAACCTCCACAGTCTCCCTTTTCACAGGATTATCCCTCTCTTGGGCTGATGACTGAGAAGCTATCCCAGAAAAACATCAATTTGATCTTTGCAGTGACTGAAAATGTAGTCAGTCTCTACCAGGTGACTATGCCTTTGGGGCTTCCTGGAGAGGGAGTAGGGCCTGTGATGGGTGGGCCTGTGTCAGGGAACTGGCCCACACTAGCTTTGGCCATGGTCCCCAACTGGGAAAGACCCGGGAGCTAATGACTCCTCTTGGCAGCCTCTCTCCTTCAACCTTGAACCTAGCAGGATGGGTGTTTGATGTTTGCATTGGTGGAGGGGAGTAATTCAGTGGGAAGAGGAGTGTGAGAGGTTCTCTGTAATTTTGCTCAGGGCTGAAAAACTGCTAGATTTATTCCTGGCAGTGACAAGTAAAATATCCCATCCTTCCCTCAGTTTCCATTTCAAGACCGTCATCTGATCTGGGGAGGGCTTTTGTAGACCAGCACCGTCATCAGTCGTCCCTGGACACCTTTGTCTTCCTTTCTAGAACTACAGTGAGCTCATCCCAGGGACCACAGTGGGGGTTCTGTCTACTAATTCCAGCAATGTCCTCCAGCTCATTGTTGATGCTTATGGGGTAAGTGTCTTATATTGGGAACAAGCCTGCCAAGAGTCCACTTAGGCATTTCCCAGGAGGGCTCCGATTTGGGAGTCCTGGTTGCCAGTCCACCATGCAGCTTTCACAGCCTTCCTCTTGTCCTTCCAGATGCCAGGTGATACCCAGCACTGGGAGGAGTGCAGCCTTCTGAGAGAGAAATGGCTCAGAAAGGAACACTAGGGAGCCTTAGGGAGAATGGAGGAAGAGTCTAGAGAAGGTAGAAGGGAAAGAAAGGATGGAGCTGATGGTGAGGAGGAGCAGGACCCTGAAACTGGAGAGGGGCGGGGTAGAGAGTGAGGAAGAGCTACGCTCCAGCCATAGAGAAAAGAGGGAGCTGAGCCATGGGAATGTGGGGTTGATTAATAACTATGTAGAAAGTGCTACGACCCAAGGCAACCAGTATTATTAGCACTCGCCTCTTGCACATCCTTGAGGCCTGCAGGAGGGCCTAGCTGGGTTCGTTTTTACCCAGACTCGCCTAGACACAAGTGGAGAAAGACAGAGAGCTGGTCCTGGGCAGGAATACAGCAGGAAGGAGGCTCCTGGGGTGCTCGGCAGCTTCCAGGTGAACCTCAGCATCTGGCACTGCAAGGGAGTGCAGGACCACCTGGTAGATTTTGCTCAAGATGGAATTGGCTCCTACTCATTTCCTCTCTGCCCATTTTCTTACCTTCTTTTGTCCTTTTCTGCTCAGAAAATCCGTTCTAAAGTGGAGTTGGAAGTGCGTGACCTCCCTGAACAGTTGTCATTATCCTTCAATGCCACCTGTCTCAACAACGAGGTCATCCCAGGCCTTAAGTCTTGTGTTGGACTCAAGATTGGAGACACGGTGAGGTGGGCTGGGCAGGGGCTGAAGCTGCAGCTTTGACCATGGCCTGTGCTCCGAAGTGTCTTTGGGCACCCCTCCCCTTCCTCCCCTGTATTTTCTTCCTAAATGTCCTCACAAGTTAGATGTAATGGAGCTGCCAGCCTTTTCCTCTGAGGCTTCTGTTGCCTAAAACTTCTCTGTCTGTCCAGTAATTTCACCGTCAGAGTTTTTTAAAACTTGCATTTAGGTTACCCCTGTTTATGCACAATCGATTGCAAATGAAAACATTTCTTACCTTCAGCCCCCGACTGGTCTCCAGACTCCTCTAAGGTAATGAATGCCTTTCTTTGCTCCACAGTGTAAAATGGCAGTGTCATCTATAAATACTTTTTGAGCACCAACTTTGGGTTAAGCATTGTTCTACCTGCTGAAGATCTGACAGCAAACAAAATAGGCAAAAGTAACCCCCCCCTCGTGGAATTTCAGACTGACTGCAAATGTCCATTTTGCCCCTTCACTCCCTCTATGGCTTTCCTTCCTTAGTGGTTGGTTCTCTGCTTCTGCTTTAGGGGAGAGAGGATGATGAAGAGGGTGGGAGAAAGGAGGGGGATATCTATACCTGTATCACCTGTATTTATATCATCTGTGTCTATATATCTATCACCATCCATCCATCCCTCTGTCTATATTCTAGGCACATGTGCACACACCGTATGTAAGAAATATTGGCCTGAAATGTGTTTGATTGCACAGGTGATGAAATGTAATGTGGAAATTGAGTGGTTGATCCCGAACCTGTGGTTGGCCACTGAGTCGCATTGTGTGATGCAAAATTGTGCTTTGTGTATCCCAACGATATTATGTAATCAGTCCTGTTAGCTTAGTTGGCCAGGGCAGGGTGTATGCAAGATCACTGGTTCTGTTCTGTTTGAGCTGGTTTATTTCACATTTGGCATTAAAGGGAAAAACTGTCTCATGACTGTAGACCATGTCTACACCCAGCCAGATACGTGTGCCAGTTTTAGGCACAACTGCACAACTATCCCCTGGCTCTTGGTAGTGGGAAGGCTGAGGAACTCCAGGTTGCTGGAAGATAGGACACCCAGTTTGGGTATCCTTGGGCAGGGTAGGGAGCAACTTCTTTCCCTCCAGGGCTGGAGTGTTAATAGGGTCCACCGGTGTCTGAATTCGATGTTACTTATCTTACAGGTGAGCTTCAGCATTGAGGCCAAGGTACGTGGCTGTCCCAAGGAGAAGGAGAAGTCCTTCACCATCAAGCCTGTGGGTTTCAAAGACAGCCTCACTGTCACGGTCACCTTCGATTGCGACTGTGACTGCCAAGCCCAGGCTGAGCCTTACAGCCACCGCTGCAACCATGGCAACGGGACCTTTGAGTGTGGGGTGTGCCGCTGCGGGCCTGGCTGGCTGGGGTCCCAGTGCGAGTGCTCGGAAGAGGACTACCGCCCCTCCCAGCAGGACGAGTGCAGCCCCCGGGAGGGCCAGCCCATCTGCAGCCAGCGGGGCGAATGTCTCTGTGGCCAGTGTGTCTGCCACAGCAGTGACTTTGGCAAGATCACGGGCAAGTACTGTGAGTGTGATGACTTCTCCTGTGTCCGCTACAAGGGGGAGATGTGCTCAGGTGAGTAAAGCTGCACACCCCTCCCCTCCTGGTACCCGCACAGCCTCACACATCTGCTGCTGCCTCTGGAAACGCATGCAGGTCAGGGCTTGCTTGAGGAGGGCACAGGAAGGCCCAGGGGCAAAACTGAGTAGATGGCACTCCAATGGCAGAAAACAGAAATGAGGTTCTCTTTGATTCCTCTCTACTCCCTATGTCCTTGCTCAAGGGCACAAGGGGAAAAAATGAGCTTCTGCTTCTGGGGGGAGGAGTTTCTCTCCTCTTCTGCTCGTGTTTTAAGTCACTGGCTCCTAATCTTTTCAAGGATATGGACCAACCCTTTTAAGGTTTAAAAAAAAATCACTTTTTGATGGTGATTAAATTTTTAGTGTACATAGATTTGGAAAACACATAATGTCAGAATATGTAGTGAAGTTAGTAATAATTATTTTACATGGATTAATTTTCTATCACAAAAGATGTGGAAAATAGTAGTAGATACGCAAGATATTGGAGCACATTTGATGAGCCAATACACTCCAGCCCTGGGGCTCCCTGGAAAACAGTGAGCTCTTATTAAATGTTGGTGCTATTTTGTTATCACTATTGGTATACTGTTACTCTTTGTACTCTAGATCTCTGCTGTCTAATATGGTGGCTATTTAAATTAATCAAGTTTAATTAAAATGTAAGTAAATTTAAATTTAAATCAAATTAAATAAACAATAAAAAAATTAGTTCCTTTGTCTCTCCACTAGTGGCTGCCCTGTTGGACAGCACAGATAATTATTGCATAGCACTGCCACAGAGAGTCCCAGCCTGCAGACTGGGGATTATGATTTTGAGTCCTTCTACCCGCAGGATGGTGATAACTGAGCTGTTGTCCTTCTCATTTCAAAATTCAGTAAATTCCTGAGGCCCACTGATCATCTCAAGCCGGTTTCTCCTTGCCCCAAAGACTACTCCTGGGGCACTTCCTCAGCTAGAAGTCCAACTGAGGTTAATGTCGTCTTTGTCTGCATCACACTGGCAACCCTCCCAGAGGCAGTTAGGCAGTCTGAGTTGTCCCTGGGCACTGGGGATGCATTTTTGCTGGGCTGTAATCACTGTGGCTTGATCCCTGTTGTGAGAGATAGATTGAAGATCTTTGTAGACTGGTTGGGACTGGTTTATGGGTGTACTGTGACCAATCAAACGGAGATTATAATTGGCTTCTGGGGTGATCAAATCCATGACCCAGACTGGCTTCACTTGCATTGGGGTTCTAAACCAGCTGCGCTGATCCACCCAGAGGTTCACTCTAACATCAGCCTTTATAAAAGCTTGATTAGAAAGGTAAATCTGTGTCATTCTAAGGCATGTCCAAGTCGTATAAAAATGGCTCCTATTTATTACCTGCAGCATTGTTTCCTTTGCTCATGCCAACACAATTTGAGAGAGAGATGGGAGAAAAACAGTATCAGAGAGATTATGGGTGAGAGATCAGATATGAACAGACACACACACACACACACACACACACACACACACACACACAACAACAGCTAGTTAGTATAGTGAGTGGTAGGACGGACG